TATATTCTAGATAAATACCAGTCCAATGTATCATATTCAAAGCTAGTTGTCCTTTAGATTTCTCTAATGATGTCCACCGGGCATCCCATAGTTTCTTAGATGAAATGATAGATTTCAGGGTCGTACAAGCYGCATATTTGTAAAAATGTTGCCACAATTATAAATTGATTTTGTTTATATTATGTTGTTGATTCTGATTGTAAAACAGAATGCATCAACTGCCCCAGATGCAGAACAAGCAGARGTTACATCGAGAACAAACTTCACAGGCACGTTGGATATTTCTAATGCTCTGTTTCCATTGTTGAGGCCACATGCCAGGTATGCCTGTCAATCAGCATTTTAAGGTGGTTATTATAATAATAGTCTTTATGTTAATTATATGTATTTTTTTTTTTTTGCAAATTTGTCTCCATAATTCTCTGCCTATATTTAGATTTAAATTTAAATGTATTTTTTTTTGCAAATTTGTCTCCATAATTCCCTGCCTATATGATCAAATAGTTATCAACTGTAACTATTTGATCATGTTTCATGTTGGTATTAACCGGTATAGGGATGCCTGAGCAATATTTTATTAGTTAGCACTTTGAAATTTGATCAGTAATTCTTAGACATCATTATGGTAAGATGTGTCACTTATTGATGGGTTTATTTTGTCCAACATAATCTGTTGGAATAAAAAACTATTCTATTTAACAACTGATAGTGATATAAAGATTATCTGATTCTCACAGAGTAGTCAATGTTGCATCACGTGCAGGTTTACTAAGGAATATAAGCAACCAAGAATTGAAAAACAAGTTCACCTCTCAAAGCCTGACTGAGGATGAACTCAAAGACCTTGTAGCTCAATATGTGAGGTAATTGTGGTATACATGTAGTCTCAACCTGCAGTAGACTATGTTTGACACAGATGTTTTTGGCACTCCCACCTTCTGTCATAAAGGAGTCACTATAGTGTTTTTGTGAAGTTTTTATTATTCAAATAGTCCCAATTAAATTTTGTGGAAACCATATTATTTTATGATATCTCTAGTGCAAATCTTAGACAGGATCTTGTAGGAGCTTGAATAGGATTCTGACAGATCTTACAGGATCCTGTTTTGTTTAAGATTTGCACCAGGAATAATAGCAGGATTGTCAAATCTTAGTCTATGGTCAAACTACACAGAAATTGTTGTATGTTATTGATGATTTTGATAATATGTTTATATTTATTGTATGAATGTTGATTACATAAGCATAATAATTTTGAAATCCAGGGTTGTTAAAGATGGTTCATATATTGAAAAAGGATGGCCAAAATCAAGTAAGAAATGTGATAAAAACTTTTATACCATAAAAAAGTCTTTTGTTAGTCCAATTACAGTATATGTTTAAAAAATGTTAATTTGTTAAAAAAATGAAATTATGATGTCATAATTAATAACATTCCTTTTCTCAGAGTATTCCCTATCAAAAATAGCTGTTATTGCACTGACTAAACTCCATGCCAGGCAAATGAGTAAAGATCARAGGGAAGACATTCTTGTTAACTGYGTAAGTACTTAAGATGGCWCCTGATTTGYGTCATTCAYTCAAGAGTTGACCATGTKGCATGATAGTGCTCACAGCAGGAAGTATTATCAGTAAATAGGGCCYGCTGCTTTAGAAAATTTTGTTGTTGAATACTAACAACAACAGAGTTTAGTTTATATCGTGGGCATTATGCTGTTGATTATATGTTTCTCTAAATGTCACCTTAGAACTGTCTTTGATGACTAGTTGTTTTTTGTTTTTTTTGGAACATCCAGTTTCTGTGGGCAAGTTTCTCAGCTCCACCGTGATTCAACTACTCTATTGTATAAGTAGTCCATGGGACCATAGTTTGTAGAGTGAAATGGTTAGGAAGCCTTTTGTTGTAGGTTTTGTGCACTTTTTTCCAAGTGTGACATTGTACAATCTTTTGTTTAACTATTGATTTAGCCATATTGGTCACATCTGAATGAACAGAGTGAAAATTATTCTTTTGACTATTTCTTCAAAATTCACAAAAATTTCTAACCAATATTGAAATATTTCATTTCATAATCTCATAGAGGGTGTTTATGTTCACTCATTTTGCAATTTCCATCATCTGTAAGAAAAAAAAGTTGTGCACGGTCATGACTGATTAGATCTCAAAATAGGTACAAAAGATGCACAAAAGAAGTACAACAAAAGGTTTCCAAACCATTTCCCTCTATGAACTATGATGGGATCAAGTGATCTATTGTAAACATATTGATGATATTGTATAATTTAGTGTTGTCCAGGATGGGTACGCACAGACATGGCTGGACCTAATGCAAAATTGACAATAGATGAAGGTATGATAATTAATCACCAATGTCAATAAAAGTAGCCTCCTCAGTAATTGGCTCCCTGTATCATCTTGAATGGTAAACCTTTGCATCAAAGTGAGATGACATGACCAGTAATGTACTTCAATGACAGACACAATCTAGGTGATTTGCTCACAAGGATATCTGTCATTCTATGCTCATCTTAATGCTAAGGCATTATTTATAATACTCAGCCAGGAACTTCCATCCTGTATCTACAGATTGAATCTCCAAATGCTGTTCCAATTCAATGTTTCCTCATATTGCATTGCATTGTATTATTCCCAGGGGGGAGGGGGAGGGGGGTACTCCCCCATATTTGCTATACTTGGACGTGCAGCTAACCAGGGTATGGTTTTCAGCGATTTTACTCTGGAACAGGCTACCGTTTTTAGCGATTTTATTCTGGAACAAAGTATCTATTTCACCGATTTTTTTCTGGAACAGGGTGAGCGTATAATTCCAAAATTATCAATGCTGGGATTTTGAGGTCCCAGTGGCACACCCCCACCCGGGGTATTATTATGCTTGTGTTTAAAACTCTAAATTCTACATGCTTGGTTAACATATTGTTTTTTTACACACTCAGGTGCTGTTACTCCTGTTTACTTAGCCCTCTTGCCAGAGGGGTCTGGTTACAATGGAGAATTCTTTGCAGAAAAAGCTGTGATTGAGTGGTGATTCAGTTCGGTGATTCTGATGATGCTAATGAAACATTTACAACAGTTGCATCAGTCATAACAGCTCAGTGTATTAGGTACAAAAATTAGGACAGTATATCAATGTGAATATTGGAATATTCTGTGAGAATACAAAGGTAACTAATGTTGAAAAGTTGAAATCTCTAACAGAAATGTAAATCAGCTTCATAAATTAAATGTCTACCAGTGAATGATATTACTGTATTTACTCATGTATAAGCCGCTCTCGTAAATAAGCTGCATCCCAAGTAATAGTTTGTTTTTAAAATATTTTGACTAGGATTCAAATCCTTTTTGTCTTCTTTTTTCGTATTCATTTATTATATTTTTATCATTAAAAAATTCTTCTTCACTGTAATTACATGCTGAAAAAATTGATTCTTTATTTTTATTATTTTGCTCTATTCATGTTTTTTCTATTCAGAATTGAATAATATAAATGGTATTTATGGTACACTAGAATAGAACATTTCGTAATAACAATATTTATGTTGTCAATCAACATAAACTGATCAATCAGACGGGAGCGGGCTTTGTGCACCACTGCGTGACTTTTTTGTTGCGTGACATCTAGATACACTCCCTCGTCAACGCCTCCAGAATTTCATAATAAGATGAAACGGGGAAAAATGACTTAATAGTACAGGAGATTTCGTAAAACAACTAATCTTCTTTTGAGACGAGTAAATGYATGTTTTTCCTTTACTGARTCTAAATAATTTGTGATAAATTTCGTCCAGAATGTCAAAATTTGCATCTTTGTTTCTCGAAATATCCTGCGGTCATGCTCTATGTTGTCAGCATGTGTGATGCACGTGAACAGTTCATGTAAATAATGAGTTCTGATTGGTTAAAGGATATTTTGACCAGTGTCAGGCCACCGATTTCAACACTATGTGATATTTTTTGTTTGCCTCATAAGACATTTTATAATTTTGGTGGCCTTTGCCTCGACTTTACAACGAATATCAGGACTTCGAACTATTATCCTGCTTCGGTTCACAGTATCTTTTGGACATTACACCCCTCTGCAAGAATACTCGTTTAACTTGTTAACTCTATATGCAGAATTTGAGATCGTTGCCTTTGTCGAGCTATTTCGTGGAGAAGGAAATGTGCAGCTTTCTGTCAACCAACATGGAACACACATGGGATGAATTCTACTTTAAGCGTTCTTTCCTTGGAGTAATCGAAAAGTACCTTGAAACTGTTGAAGATATGGAGTCAACCATTCTGGTTCCAAGTCGACTGATGGGCTTAGAGATGACAGAGTTATTGTCCAAAACGAACGGTGATAGCTACCTAGAAGGCTTAGATATGAGAGCTTTCTACAGTTACATGAAAGCCGTAAAAACACAGATCGCTCTGGGCTGCAGTTACATCCTCGAAAACGATGAAAGAAATTCGCCTTTCCAATGCAAGTTGAGAGAATCGACGAAGCAAATCAACCAAATCATTTTGATTGCAAAGTACATAACAATATTCGCCCAAAACATCGCTTTCCAGTCAAGGACAATTACGTATAAAGAATTCGAGAATAATGTCAGATTCACCCAAATTCAGACCCTTCACGGATCCCTCAAAGAAATGTTGAAAGCTGTTGATGAAATGGAGAAAGCTGTTTTATTCCCATGCCTCCTGAAAGATCACGGGACTGTAGACGATTTGCCAAAAATCTCAAATTCATCATCTCCCAATGTGGACAATCTTCATGATGTATTTACTCTTCTAAAGCTTCTAAAAAACGAAATCCTATCTAGCCCACGAGACTCCCAGATACCTGAAGATAGTTTTCACATAATGCTGTCAGATTTGTATCAAGCCCTCCTTGTATACACTTCGTTGACCTCCAATCTCACGAAGCGCTACAAACAAGAGGTCCAATGTGTTTAGAACTCAAATATCTATGTAGCTAGCTATAAAGTATTTGCGAATTTCTAAATACAGTACATTTTGTGKAATTTCTGCGAATTACTCAATGTAATGCCGCTAATTAAATAGTCGATAAATGATGTCAAATAATAATGTATAATATTTTGAAAGAATAATAAGTTTACATGTAAGTAAAACGTTTGTTCAAGTTTGTTGTGAATCGAATTTTCTTCAAAGGGTCCGAGGGTTATTTCCCAGCGATTAGCTTAGTAAACAGAAACTGAAAGTGAGTCATAACATTTTGATTGTAGTTTATATCCTTCTTAAATATCGTCTAGTCATCACATGACGAACCGATCACGCACGCACTCTAAACCGGAACAAATAGAATCATGTCTGGAAAACGGGTTACCCAACAAGGTCCAAATGCGACTGATCAACAATCCTAACTTTTGCGATGTACACTATAAAACCTAAACGGCTTATCAATATCAGAAACAAGCCAATTTTTGGTGGGACTTTTTGGGATCTTGAGTTTCACAAAACGTAAAAAAAAACTGGATTTCTACCGGAAGTGATATGGGTAAAGAAAACTTAAACGCTCCCAATAGCCTAGAAAAGTAAGAATAATATGCAGATAAGTCTTTGATTGATAATGTCATCAACTGACTGGCATATCATAACATTAGGCATTGTACCAGCACATTCCATTGTTTCAAAACCCCAGCTGATTAACAGATTTTAGAAGGACTGACATCAGGAATCAATCAAAGATCCATATTGATACAGATACCCCTGACGATTTGGAAGAAAATGTTGACAATTACTATTAAATCCTCTCAATTTTCTGTATGCTGTGAAAAACAGAACAATGCTCTGGTGAGACATCATCAAAGAGAATAGCACTTTGTACTTAAGGAATGTTAAAAAAGAAAATCACTCAGGTTGAACGCCTTTTGTATTCATTCCTTTTGACTAAAGTACAAGTTACGTTTTGTTTCTCTATGGCAACTTTTTTGCAAGTAGGTGCATAAATGCAAACAATTATTACAAGGTTCAATTTGAAAGAATGTTTTTTTTAATATCACACATATTTGGATTACAAGGATTATATTAAAACTATACAGTGTATTCTTTTCTGCAACTATCTACGTGACTTTCTCTGTTCCTTTTTATGAGAACTCTTTCTTTTTGCACTTTCTCTGCAAAAAATAATGGCATTTATGAATAACAGAWAGTCCAATCAATAGAATGCTGTTGTCACAAAAATACCTCTTCTTTCTGCGCTGCCTTCGCCTTTCTTCTTCAGAATCYTCTGATGAGCTTTCACTTGAGCTCTCTTCACTTGAGCTTTCTAAATGTGTATTGAAAGTAAGCAACAGTTAATGATTTGGAATAGAGCTAAGGTGTAATCTAAAAAAAGAGCTCAGCTGCATTGAAAGACACTTTATTTTTGGAACAAATAGTTGATGATAATCAAACTTGCTATTGCCTAGAGGCTTATTGCAAGGAACTAATTAATCCTAAACACTATGCAATTGYGCTGATGGCTGTATTCACGCTGCTTTCAAAACATTGTTTTATCGCTACCCACCTTCACTGCTTGAGTCACTAGAMGATTCATCACTGCTGCTGTCACTGGACTCCTGTTGTTGCTGTGCCATTATTTTCTTAGGGGCATTCTTTAAGTGTTCACGAAGTTCATCTCTGTAGCCAAAACAAATTCCAAATGAATTGACTAACATTTGCAGCATTTCTTTACGAAAATTATTTTATATGCAAAAAACATGAACCATCCTACTATCACATATGCTATATGATAAATTTCTTTAGAGTCAAAGTGAACAGTCATGCACCTATGAGCAAACTCCAGGTGATCTCAACAAATTGATTGACTTGCTAACAAACTCTACTCACGTAACTCCACCAAGACCAATGGAGGTGAAAAAGTTGATTGAAAAACGTGTGTTTCTTGGGTTGTCTCTAGGAAAGAGACCTTCAAAGTACGGCCCCAGAAATCTGTGGAATTTAATGTTAAAAATGGGCATTCAATGATACAAATGTCTGGTAAATGAAATGTGTTGAAGACWGCATTCACTGAATTTTCACWTACGGATCTTTTAGTCTCTCATTGAGCTTTGGCATTCCCATGTATTCTGCTAGTTCTTGACATAAGATCTTGATAAAAACTCGGCTATAAAGGGGAACAAGAGTTAATTCATCTATAAGGATATATTTAATTGAGTATTATTAGCATTTATTTTCAAACCTTGAAGATGTGGTTTCATCTTCATTCAAATGAATGCARTCAAGTACCTATAAATGAGAGAAATAGAAATATGTAAATTTTCTGAAATAAAAACATTCTTTAAAACATATGAACTCTTGTGTAATAGATCTATCTGTTGTTTACTTACAGTCCAAGGAATTGCATCRGTAAAAAGAAGATGACCAAAGAACTTTGCAACATTTCGCAGCTTATTTGTCTCTAATCGATGAATGGTTTCATACTAATAAAACAAGATTATTGATCAATCAATTAATAATGATATAAGAGGACATAAAAAGTGCCAATTAATTAAACACAGGTAGCCAACATTATTAAAAATTTAAGCATCATGGATTTACGAAATACTAAAAAAATTCCAATCACAATTCGTTTTCTGGGTTGCCATAGTAACATGATCAGGCTGAAAATGGCATAGATTAAACCTTTTGTCTTATTTTTATTTACTGGTAAAAAAAAAATCATAGGTACTATTTTAAGCTTAAAAATAAGAACTGAATATTAAAGGTTTGTTGAAAAAACAACAGCAGTGATCCTTAAATGAAATTGTGTCAAGGGAGTCCTTGACCTCAAACAAAAATACATTGTATGTATTGTCTATGTCACCAGATGTTTCCTTCCCCAGTAGGGTACCTTATAAACCTTCTCGGGTTGCAGCCTCATCAGATTAAAGTTCAAGGTCTTAATGGATTAATTCATATTAGGGGTATTGAATGGTAAAATCCTGGTTTTAAAATCTGAGCCTGAGCCTTTGGTTGAACGAGTTCAGTATTTTGGCAATTTAGAACTTCCGAGCCAAAAGCAATTTTAAATCCGATATCTCCTTTCCTTTAGGCGCTGAGTTTGCAAGCCTTGGGATATTTTTGGTGAGCCTCGCGATTTCTGATATGACCATTCTATACCCCTCATATTCAAATTTAGGCGTACTTCCAAAAAACAAGAAAAACATAGCCTCAAATATTTTAACATGAGGTCAACTCACATGACACTGTATCACTGTATGATATTATTTACATGAATAATAAGATAAATGTAGGCTCCCTGTGAATGAAATAAGATATAAGGGATGCAAACATCAACTTCTTTACCTGTTCTTTGAATAGCTTTACATACTCATCTATGTACTCTTTCTTTAAAGTGCAAAACCTCTGGAGAACAAATAAAAAACAATTGTTGTTATTAACCTAGTTTCCTTCGCAGCCTCTTCTTTTGGGAGGGACAGGAAGCCCRACAAAAGGGAAGGCTACGAAGGAGACTATTATTAACCTATACAATATCTATTTATAGTAAATGTAACAACAAAAGAAATATTTATAGTCAGACCTGTGCAAGTAGTCCAAAAAACTTCTCATATGATCTTTGTTGAGCACAGCAATCAATTATCATGACACAAAACTCAGGCTATAGAAAGATAAAAACAAGTAGACCATTATTAAATTATTACTTAAAGGCTCTGTAAATGTATGAAGCAAAGAACGTTTAGGAATATAGAACATGTTTTAACAGGCAAATTATATAGAGACATGAATAACTTACAATCTGGTCAGGTTGAATATTCATTTTGAGAAGTTTATGAGCGCATTCTTCATAATCCAAACTAAAATATTCATAATAAAATCAATTAGAAACGAAAACTTTTCTCTGTAATAGTTCAAGAAAATATGAAATTTTGAGGATATGTCATACCTGGATTGAATTGTCAAATAGATTGTCCTTCTTAGTGCAACTAAGTTGGTTTCAGTATGGTCAATAATTGTCATTTTTTCATCTGTAAAGCAAACAATAGCAAACCATCAATTTAAAAATATTAATACCATCTTTTGGCCACTTACAAAATACTATTCAAATGTCATACAATTTATAGTTAATATTACATAAATTCTTATTGAGTGACTGCATACCATTAGCTTCTCCTTGTGCATCTCCTTCCTCRTCGTCATCATCCTCATCGTCGTCATCATCGTCGTCRTCATCATCATCATCCTCATCATCACTATCTCCTAGTATGTCTGAAAATGTAAATGAAAATAAACACACATTGCAATTTTAAAAGAATGCAAAAAATAAGATTTAACAATATATTAATAATAATTAATTAAATGATTCCTACCTTTTCTTATTTCCTTGTATTTTTCTTCATTTTCTAAAAAGTTTGGATCCATCTTGAAAATATCTAAAAATAGCCAATTATTATAGTTTGCTTTTCAATCAATCAACTTAATGATAACAAGTCCTGCATAATGATTTATTTCCAGGGTAAAAATCAAGTTTCTAGATAAAGTGCAATTTTATAGTAAATTTATACAAATGCATGGTTCATTTAGACACTGCTATGAATCAGAAATCCAATTTCAAAAACATACTTAGTATGTCTTCTGCAGTTCCACTTTCCTCTAGTCTGAGTAAGTGTGTTATTTGGTCTTCTTCTTCAACGAGGTCCAGACCCTCTGGTATGGCTACATGGTCCTGGATACATTAAAATAAATGTATTATTTGGTGAGTGTGTCGGTGAGCATATCCAYCATTTTTYACTTGACTGATGGTAAAACTTCACAATACTTTATAYGGCTGTAAGYTACCTTAAATCCATCCTTTCGAATTGCAAACATGACTTCAATCATGTACTCTACTCTACGGTCTATTTCTCCACTGTGAAGAATGCTGCGGAGTCTTTCAAATACAGCTAAACATAGAATAAAATGGGCAATTCTTTTATGAATCAATTGCTACAYATTCAATAAGTTATATTTTCATTTTCACTAGATTTATTCTAGTAAAGTGCTATCACTGGTTCACAAGTATAGAAATGCAAAATAATCTCACCATGTATACCCCTGGGCGAAACCTCCGTCAACTTCATTCCGCACTCTTTCAGGAAACCAATCTTTGGGAATAAAACTTGTTTTTAATTTCAYTGATGCCACAAAGCCACATATTCATATGGGAAKACATTCCAAGCGGAGCATGCTCATTGATGTTKCTGAGTATAGTAAGAAARTAAATACTTACACCAACTTCYACGCTATCATCAGTGGGTTTGTGAAGGAGTAATGTCAGGATTTCAAGTGCAAGAATTTCATGTGCCTGAAGACATAAAAAACTATCAGAATAAACAAAAAATGATGTATGTAGCATTTAAGTTACTTTTCATTGCACACACATTCATATTAATTTGAGTTTGACAAACAACTCTAAGCACTACGATATTATTATAGTATTATACTTACTACTTGTTGGTTGACAAGATGGGCAATAAACCGGGTATTATTAAGACAAACAGCCTAAAAGATTAAAATAGACATAATTATTCAATAGACCCTATTAAATAATGATTGAAATCATGAATACATATTACAATATTTAAACAAACAGTTGATATCAAAACTAAGAATTGCTTATTACCTTATCATTTCTTCTGAAAGCCCTTCTGAATTGMAGAACCAACCTCCTTAATATTAATTCTCCATTTTTGGGGAACTAAAATTGTGCAAAGGGTGCAAAGGGTTAAATAAATACTTGGATGGTTCAAGGATACATAGACAAGAAAACACAAAATATAATGAAAGTTTTTGATAAATACTACAAAAAGAAATATTACAACCAGTATTAATTCGCTTTCTCCACAGGTATCAAAGATGTAAGTAACCAGCAAACTATCAGAAACTGAGCAAGAATGAATATATTATGATTTAACGCTTACCTTTGTATTGATAATTGACACAAGAGCTGCATAGACATGGGTGAACGTTGGTGATGCAGACTGGGCTCGAATGATAGACTGMGCTAGYACCCCCCTGATTGAACAAATTTGGTTTCAGTGTCAATATAAKTGCAAATAAAAAATCAAAACCTATTTCAAACTGTAATGATTTCAATTAATCACTTGCCTGCCTCTGACTATATTTTCTTGAAAGAGTTCTCTAACAATGTTACCAATGTTTGATATATTGACCTAAAGTTATAGAATTACATAGGTTTGAAATAGGTTGATAGTGTAAAAAAATACTCATGTTTATCCATGTTGTTTCTATCTCACCTTGTTAATTAATCCATTTATACTCTTTTTAAGAGCTTCCCAACTWATCCTCTGATATGCTTCACTATAAACAGGATCACAAAATAACATTCATCTTATCTTGACTCATTGCCCAGTAGGCCCTAAGGCCCCTACCCCCAAAATAATATTACCTCCATATAAAATAACCAATTAACACTTATTTACTGGAACCGAGGGAAACCTTATGTTTCCCAAGAGAGGAAAAAAAGTAAATAAATGAAGTGTTTTTATTAAAGATTTTAATAAAATGACTGAAAAATGACAATAAATAGTCAAATGTCACTAAAATCAATCTGAATGTAATAACACAATGAATGCTATAACTATTTGTAGTCGAAATTAAATCTTTCATGACAATTTTGGAATACACCGTCCATAAATGTGGCATTTTTACGACACTGAAGAGTGTTTTTCTGCGACTTTTTACTTATTGAGGGTCCACAACATATCTTGACYGCTGGTGGACAGTTGCCGGGAAACAGTAAAATTTTGTGACTTTCACATGGTACAATCTCAACCAATAAGATACTAGGAAAARTGAATTATAACAATATTTATATCACAGGCAGAAATCCATACAGATCAAATATTATAATACATTACCTGCTTTTGTCTGTGATACTTTCTTGCATCATTCTAAGTCTTGCAGGAGGAATATATGCACCACCTGTTCTAGTCAAAAGTGGATTGTCTTGCTTTTTATCTTTTTTCTCATTTTCTGGTGCTTTGTCATTATCCTTAGAAGAATTTTCTTCCAGTTCTTTACTTTTATTATCCACTTCAGGTTTTTCTTTACTATCATGCCGTGAACTCTTTCTATAATCTTCATCCGACTCTGATTGCCTCCTTTCTCTATCATATCTATGTCTTGACCTCTTGTGTCTGTCTCTGTCTTCATCTCTATAGTCACGTTCTTCGCGTCTATGGCTTGTTGTACTGTTTTTATTTTCCCTGCTGTCATCGCTGTTTTCATATTCTTCTGATTTCCGGCTTCTTTTGTACCACTTTCTGTTGTCCCTATCATCTTCGTAGTTCTCTTTATCTTCGTGTCTCCTTCTAAAAAAGAATAATTTTGGTAAAAGGATGAAATGTTGAATGAATACTTATTGAATCATAAACATTATTCAATGAAAGCTGAAAATATTGAAAAATTTTACATTAAAACAGTCATATACCTTCTATTCACAGGTGATCTAGACCTTGAYTTGGAGTCATGTCTTCTTGAATATCCGCCTTTAGCTCTCTAAGGCACAAGGAAATCAAATATAATTACKTAATTTGACCTCTCTACTTCAATGAATATACTGTATATTTCATTCTCAAGATGTTGGACCAAGTACATGTATTTTGACTGCATGAATTAGCAAAGTGATATTTTGTTAGTCTGCCACCATCTATTAAAAAGGTAAATGGTAGATTTATCGATCAAGATATGAAATTGCTTATATTAGGGTTGGCAAGCCTGATGACCTGGCCAAAGGAAGCCCAATTTTGTGGCTCCTTGTGAACCATGCAAACTTCAATGTCAATTTTAACCACTCAAAATCAAGAGATGCATGTACTGGAGAGATGTGGTAGCMATCTCCTGGGGCCATTTGTACAAAGGATTAATAGTTAACATTTTTTTCACAAAATTTAGAAATAAAAGAAGTGATGTCTGATGTGGATTTGTTTCAGGTAAAGTCCCCTATTAAATCATATTTAAAGAGATATAAGCTTATCATGGAATAAATGATTTAGTATACAGTATATGTATATTCACAACCAAAGGGTATAAAACTTTGATTCAATGGATTTCTGACATCTTTGTAAAGTTTGTCTTTCACAGGGGAGAATTGGGGTACAAAACAATTAAAGGGTTTATGTTCATATTAGRGACAGACTTTTGCCGTCGCTTTCAGCTGTGAAAGTTTGAAACGATCTCAAGAATTTACCTGAACAACACTGCGAACACGAGATGTCTGCACAACGCCTTCACTATCACTGCAATGGTAAASAAGCAATGMATTTCAACATTAAATAATTGTATTAGCCTATAATTAAYTATTGCTTTACCTTGATGGCATTATAAGCTGTGGATCTTAGGGGAARTCTTTAAAAMGTTATGTTTTATAATCGTTCTTTTCACATGTACGTTTGAAGTTCGATGAAGATGCTGAATTTGCTTAGCAGCCAGGCCTGATCTATCGAAGTAGAAAAAGACACAAGAATGAAATGATGTTGGATGATTTTATTTAGAATAGGACAAACTTCCGAAAAGTTTACTTTTTTAATTGATATAGTTCTGATAATAACTAAATTCCAAAAAAAGTCCAAAATGACTTTTTTGAAAAAAAAGGTTTGGTTTTCCTGTGTAGAATAATGGTGGGTGGGACTAGGGCCCACTTGGTTGAAGTTTCGTCGGCACGTGTACAAAATGGCGGCGTTTCTCCGTGCTAGTGGTCGAGTTTGTAGACAAATTGTCTTGTATGCAGCAAGAAATCAGCATAGTTATCTAAGGAAGCTACAGAGTCCTACTTCTTTCTACACAGAAAGCTTAATTTTTCCTCGTTTAACGTCTGTTCGGCCATTTTCTGATGTCATATCGGAAAATGAAGTCGAGGCAGAAGTGCAAGMAAGCTTTGAAAGAGACTCTGAAAGATTGAATCTAGATAAAAGGCCACCAAAAGATCGGATTATGAGAAGTGCACAGTACGAAAGAATGTTACATCAACTTGGTGGAATGACAGCCAAAGGAACCCTCTTACAGTTGCTTGACTCTATTTTGGCAATAGGTTAGTGATTTACTTAAGTAATATGCTCAACTCGCTTTAACAGTAAAAACATCCAGGACTCTATCTTTTTTCTATCTTTTTTCTATCTTTATTTAAATTAGGGCTCTTTTACTTACATTTTACAATGCATAATTCACAATATTCAAGTTACAGTCGACAAGTGAAGGAATGAAATTAAACGGAGTGCTAGACATTTGTTATGTAATCTATTGGGCTTCCTGTGGTATTCAGTTTCTCACACACTTAGTTCAACCATTTATATTGATTTATGTCATACAGAAGGAAAATTCACTCAACTTCAAGCTTACCAGATGTTGAGAAACTGTGGTAAAGAATTGATTTATGAAAGTCCACAAGGCAGAACTGATACAGCGCATGTTATTTGGGATAAACTTATAGACAATGGTGAGTACTATCAATTCATGTGTTAACTTTGAAAATTTATATTAAACACAAATTATTTTCATTTAAGGAGTACAACCTGACATCATGATGTACAATGCTCTGTTGTCGGTTTACCTTCAAAATGACTATGTCTTTAACCCAGAGGAGATATTAGAGCAAATTCAAAATGCTGGACTTGAACCTAATTTGGTATGTATAAAACAAGCACATGTATTAGTRCAAGGAAAATTTCATAGTTTGATATTAAAGCTACATGTTGAGCTCACATGGAAAATCATATAATTTTGTATTGTTGGCTTAGATTACAATGACCTTGATTATCAAAGGATTTGGTGAAAAAGGAGACATTGGTGGAGTGTTGTAAGTTGAATATTAGTATTATTCCTTATTGCGATGAATCTTTAATCTTTAATCTTTAAATAAATTAATTGCCACTAGTGAGCTAATCCGGCAATGGAATCATTAAATCACTGTCTGTAATTGTACGTGATGGTTTTAAATATTTTTTCAGGAAAGTACTGGAGTTTATGAAGTCAGCAGAGATGCCAGTCACTGAACCAGTTTATTCAGCATTAATTACAGCATACTGGAAATCAGGGTGGGTGATTCTGTACATTATTTTAGTTAGCAGTATAACTTTGATATTGGTTTTAATTTTTGTGGTTTGTAGTCTAAGGATTTGTATTTATTATTATTATTGTTTAAGTGGACAATTGAGTTGAGGACAACCTCCAAATACAAAAAAATATATATATATCACGAGAACTGATAGACTTAAAAATTTGTGTCTGTTAAGTTTCTGGAATGTAGTTGTTAAAAATTTTTAAATGTTAGATGTTAAATGTTGTTATATCAGTGTTGCGCACATCCTGTAATTCAGTGTTTTTCTCTAGTGTTGCACTGCGAAAGGAATGTAATTGATTACATACCCCCCCCCCCCCCCCCACACACACACACACACACAAAAAGAACTACTGTACAAATAACAGTAATTACATTATGATTATTGTAGTTTAAGACAACTCAAGTGTGCAAATAAGAAATGATTTGTGATTGTATTAGAGTAATTATATATGTATTTACATTGAACATAATAATCTATGCTAAAAATAGCATGTTTTTTTGAATCTKCTAGGGATATGGAAAGTGCCAAAGGAGTATTTGGTATAATGAGGTGGGCATTTAATATTGTTAACAATATATGTTGAATTATACTATGGCAATCAATCATTTTATTCAGCATTGGTGATCAGATAAGGTACCTACTGTATGCAATATCTGCTAAAAATCATTTCAGTCCATGAAAGTTGTATCACTTCTCTGCATCATGCTAATTTCTCTTTCTTAATTGGATTAACCCTTTGACTACTTAACCCTATGGCTATCAAGCCGCCAGTTAGAAAAGTTTACTCTTTAAAAAAATTTGTCTATTTCTGAAGTGACTCAGCTCAATRGCAACTTTGGTTTCAMTCTAAGCCCTAGGAATTCCCCTTTTTCTTTTTGTGATGAATCAACGTGGATTAGCTACTCATTTTGTCACAAAATTAATTGGCGAAGGCAAGAAATGCTGTTTTGACACTAATTTTAGACAGTGAAGATTGCACTTTTCATTGCAATTTTTTCCTGCAAAATTCTTATTTCAAGCAAGTAAAACACTGTTTCTCATAAAATTCAGTCTRTCAGCTCAAGGAAGCACAACATAATGGCATTACAAAACAACAAATGTTTCCATATGAAAGGCAAACACCATGTTGAGAGGACATTTGAAATCTTTTAACATTAAAAATACGCTATTTTTCTCAAAAGGCCCAGTAGTCAAAGGCTAATCAAATGTAAAACTACTTTCTTCTGAATTTTATCGTCTYTTATATCTTTTTGATTTTTCATAATTATTATCTGTTTTTTACTTATTTATTTTTTCAAGTGAAAATGGTTTAGAGCCAGGAATTGACAGCTATACAACAATATTGAGGGCATATGCAGAAGATGGTAACTTAGAGGCTATTGATGAGGTAGTAAAAACAGTATTGTTTAGCAACATCGTTATGGTCCAGTGTGATTTTGGATTCTTATCATGATGCGTGTTACTTAATCATTTATTAGACAATATATGAGATGCAAGAAAAGAAGATATATCCAAACCACACTGTCTATCTTTCACTAATTGATGTTTTTGGCAAATGTGGGAAAATTGATGTGATTCCAAAGGTATGTATAAGAATTGTATTGGTGGAAACACCATTAAGGTATTTCAGCTACTTTTAACAGTGTAAAATTTATCTCACTTGACAAGTTCTGTTTCTTTTGAACACTACATAAATTGATTGATCAATTGATTGATTGATGGATTGAAGAATTGAAGAATTGATGGATTAATGGATTGATGGACTTGTTGATTGATTGATTAAAATTTGAGATTAAAATTTAACCTATTCTGGATTTATACCTAGATACTTTCAAAACCAACTGTGAAAAGATTGGTTGAACCAGGTGAGACACTGTTAGTCCCAGCCAGACTAACAAAGTGCCAAGTGAAACTTGACAAAATCTGATTGTGTTTCCAGACTTGCTATCCATGATGATCGCAATGGGGGGTCGTGGTGATGTAGATGTTGCCTTAAAACTCATGGACTTTGTCCCTAAAGACAACATTTCTTCTCATTTTCAATCTCCACATGTGCTTCTTCTTAAACAAGTGATCATTTCTAATCAGGTAAACAACATTGTTAGGAGGGTTCATGCTACTCATTGAAAGCCTTGAAAAGCCCTGAAAACTTGCTTTGAAGAGCACTCAAAAAGTGCTGGAATTTTGAAGTGGAAATGTAGTGCAAACCCTGTGTTATATTATGCTGCTAGTAGTTTGTTGGTAGATTTTCAAGTTATTATTAAGTTTTTTGGAAAAAATTTGTCTGTGCTTTTGATATTTTGTCCTCACTCAAAAGATATTTAACTTCAAGGTGTTTTAATTAATTGATACCAATTGCATGTACCCATCAATGCACATGAATAAAACATGTATTTTTTTTTGTTTATGCGAAGAAATTACGAAAGAACTTCATAATGACATAAAAAAGAAACTAAAAGCCAGCATCAACAATTGTAAACACAATTTTTGAGCCTGCTTGGTTTTAGTCATGTTGTAAATCTCATGAAAATCATGGTTGTCAACCATAATATTGTTTTTTAAAGCCAATAGATAAAGTCATGAAGGTCGTTGATGTGATCAACAAGCAAGGAGTAATGAGAAATGTTTATGAAAAAGCTCTTGACCTGTCATATGGTACCAGACAACCAGGTAAACTGTTTGATATGATTTATTTTGATGRTGTTTTCCGCACAATTTTCAGTAAAAATGCAATAATTGGAGATAATTAATTGATGATTAATTGCAGAATTGTCAACAACAATAATCAAGGAGATGCTTGCCAAGGTATTCTTTATTTACTTATAGAAGAACTTCAGTGAAAAACTAGTGGAAATCATGCTGTACATGYAACTTTGAGAATCTGGTTTAATTTTTTTTAGGATTAAGGATATGCATAAAATGATTTTCCAATATGCAGTATGTAATACTTGCTCAAGAGTCTAAAAACATGTTCTAGTTTTCCATGTCATAACAGGTGTTCATGTGTCAAAAAAATTTTAAAAAATCTCAAAACAAAAAAAAAAATGATCTTTATAGCATTGAAATCTATACACACTTCGATAATTTTAAAGTGAGACATCTTTTTTTATTAATAAAATTGAAATTATTGGGCGATTTTCTTCCTAGGTATCATAAAAATTGTAATAATCAATATTTCTTKTAATCAACAGAATATTGTTGTCAAAGAGCATTATTTCTATCCTGTACTTGCATCGTATGCTCAAAACATGGATACCAAAGGTACTAGATAACATTGTGTAATCTATTGATTGGAAAGATTCTCCACCAATGGCCTCAATTCTCAGCAGTGTCCTCTGTTCTCCACCACTTCTGCTAATTCCCCAACAATTGACAAATATCATGCTAGCATGAATTTTTGAAAACCCAGTATCAAGTTTGTCACATTAGTGAAGTTGAGAGGTAGAACTTGAATTGGTGAAGATTATGAACTATCAAAACTTTGTATTTTTGCAAAGAATTTAACTTCATTGTGGTCGGCAATCCAWGTCTGGTGAGCCTGGTTTTAATGATAAACATTAATTAAACATAAAACATAAATATTAAAATTAATATCTTTGTCAATTTAAGAGCTATATTTTTGAAACTTTGCATCTTTATCACTCATAATGTGACCACTTCAATACATCATGTTAGCATGGTAAAGATCTATGTGYCCCAAATTCTCAACCAGTATCCATAGTTGATCAGTGCATTGACTGTACTATAAGACTACTGAATTATTGCATGAAGTGTCAGCAGAYTGAAAAAAAAGAAAGGTCAAAATGGGATCTACTGTACACTGAACTTCTTCTGAAGTATTGTGCTCAAACAGTAAAAAAAAAAATGATGTTTTTGTGATGTTTTAGGTATTAAAGAAACAATGTCATTAATGGCAGGAAATGGTTTTAATATTGACCCGATTAGGTATGCATTTAGCTAATTGCACATGCTAAACAATCACTTGATACAAATAGATATTACTTGCTAATATACATTGAATTACAGGACGATGCAGAGAGAATATTGCTTTTAAGCAGTCTGAAGATACTGATAAAGGATTACAATGCACAGCATTTTGCAAAAGTTCTTTAGATTTCAACAATATCTATATATAGGACTTATAATCAAGCTTGCAGCCTAGATAGAAAAATCTAGAGCACAGTCAGGAAGCACAAACAGAGCACATAATACAATTTATAATACAAAATCTAAGGTTTTGCGCAAACTCAACCATTACACCACAAAGGGTCTGATTAATATCATTACACAAAGCATGATAGATCTCCAAGTCAAATGTTATCTTCTTATAGTTTGAGTTTTATCGCCAAAACCTTTGGTCAGTCTGAAGATGTTTGTGTTGATGATGTCCTTAAGCTTAAAGAGGTTGGTAAAGAAACTTGTGGAGTGAATGTAAAATCCCTTATTATATAGCCAGGATGTAAAACACGATTTCATTGGCTAAAAAGCGGACCATACTTTCCTGTATGTCCAGATGAAACAAGAAAAAAACGTTTTTCATCTTAAAAAGGCTCCATTTCTCTCTTTTTGTAGTTGTACTGTATAAAAAAAGAGTCAATGAATCCAAATTTTGCCATCGAGGTTTCTCAGGCTTTTCTTTTTTCTATTTTGAATGACAAGAAAAGTACGAACAAAAACATTTATATGTCCGATTCTCTATTAATTTTACTATTTTTCCCTGAAAATACTATATAATAAATATCTTATTAACCTCGCTTGCTCGAGCCRTACGGGAAGTTATGGAACCTCGTTTTTTTCCACTTTTTATGGACCTCGCGCTATGCGCTCTGGTCATAAGTCAGTGGAAAAAAACTTGGTCCATAACTTCCCGTACTGCCCTCGCACTCGGGTAATAAGATATTAATCTAGAACTCAATGTGTCTGCTACCTTCTGTTATATTATTATAAAAATAAAATCACATGTGATGTATAAAATTCACAGGAAGTACCACTCTCGTCCTCTCTTCTGAGGATGCTTACTCAAGTTGTAATGAAGTCTGGAAATGTTGAAAAACTAGATGGYATCTGTAAGTGTACATGTATTTTTTACCACACTTTAGCCACGTTTTTGTCAGAAAGAGGCCATACTTTATTGACACCATTGCATCTGACGCTCACTCAGTCAAAAGAAAAGGATTTTTGCTAATTTTTAGACTAAAAAATTGGTAAAGAAACATTACACATCATTTTACGTGGGTCCGCTTGATTTTATGGTGCCAAAATTGTGTTAGTAAKAGGACACATAACTTTTGAAAAATCATGTGTAATTTTGTTAGCTTTATCATCATCTCCTTTTTATCAATACCACAGTACAATTTCAAAGTTAGTGCACTAACAACTAAGCCAAAAAAAATGCATTCTAGTAATATCTTAATATTTGAAAAAAAATGTTTATAGTCTTGTGAATTATTATCTTATATATAGTACATTTTTTTTCACTTTCTTGTGCAGTTGAGTATGCAGAGGAAAATGTTCAAGACAAGACTTTCTTTCCTCGGGCTTTTGTAGGAACAATGACAAGGTGAGATATAGGTGTTTTTTAATTGGTACCATTTCAAAAACATTACTTTGGCAACTTAAGTTAATACTGATTTCGTGTTATTAATTTTAAGATCATTTGATCCAGACCTTGCAGTAAAAGTAAGTTTCTACTGTTCCATCCTGCATTGGTCAATGATCAGGTATCAAACCTGAGACCTTTGCTAGGGTCAAGGACCTTTACATGTATATCTGATAAATGTCACCCTTATTAATATCAGATATAAAGGTCCATGCATGTGACCAAATGGCTCATTCTATTAGCCTAATAACTTATTAATTATGTATGAGTTTTTTTAAATTTGGTAATTAAGAATTTACTTTGAAGAGTGTGGTTGGCTGTAATTAGCAGGTTGAATGCATTCATATTGCTGTATAGTTTTCRAAAGTACTTTTAATCTAACGCAAGTGCTAATTCTTTGCATTACTAGATTCTCTTGAAGATGAAGGGAAAAGATTTTACTTATCTATTTCGTAAGTTCAATATTTAGGGGTAAAAAACATATTGCTACAATTTTGTATGCAAGTATATTCCCTGTTTGTTGTGATGATATCAAGTTATTTGCACTTTTCCATCGACAGCTATGTACATCAGCAACTTATTGGATAATTTGCAGCAAGACGATAAAGCAAGGACTGGTGCACAATTCATTTGTATGATGCTTAAGCAAGTAAGTTTTGTAACCAGTTTCAAAACTGAAGTTCTCAACTACTTTTTGAGATGTTGAATACTGGGGCTGGTTGCATGATGGTAAATAAAGTTTTAATACTCCTTGGATTTTGTATGGATTTAATCTTATCCTATGGACAGCATTATTCACCCTTTATATATTCGGTCCCTGAATATTCATCATCATCATCATCATCATCATCATCATCATTCGGCTGCAGCGCAGGCGACCACAATCCCTCTCCCTTGTGCCCATTTTTCTGCCATTTCTGCAGTCTGATCAGGCCGAAGAGTGCCATTGCCTGAATATTAATTCACTCTGGTCTCTTATTGTACTGTTTAGGGTCTACAAGATTTCCTTGACTCAAGAAGTTACACTGCCGTCATGAAATATCTCAATTATAATCAGCTTTTTGATGAGTTTTCTCAGGCAAGTATGAACCAACATGTTGTCCCTTGATAATGATTAATGAAGAACTAAATATCCCTTGTTATTTTTCAGCTAATACAAGTGATGAAAGAGCATAAAATACCACTTGATGAACACCAGTACAGACAAATGATAAGGGTTCGAGACAATCTTTAATTTTTGTAGCMTCAATGTGATACACTTATTTAAAAAAATGCTGTTGGGGAGAACTGCAAAGGACGATTGTTGAATGGAGATTGCATAACCAAGGGACTATTCTTGCTCTGTTTAACTTTCATTCAAAATTTCATTTGGCGAGTTAACCTTGTTTATATTTATTAATTATATTTACGTATAAATCAGTAATTATTTCCCATCAATTGGCAAAAAATACATGGCTCCTTACGGTTGTGCAATCACCATTTCACAATTGCCACTCAACATTTTTTCAACAACCTTTCTTGAAATAGCTATATTTTCATTTTACTCAATAAACTTTTCTCTATTCAATAGATGTTTACCTATATTGGAGAAAGCAGGGCAGCTCAGTTCTGTTTTGATGGTTATAAGGTAAGATTGTAGCCATTGCCAGAAGTTTATCCACCTTTTCATAACAATTCACTACCAATATAAATAGGTTGATGCACGCTTGGACACCCGTTAATATTTTTGGAGGTATTAGTCCAGTGGGTCACATGATTGCATGAATTATCTTTCCACAAGTGATGTAATTGAAGTGTAAGGACATTGCATTTGTTTGATATATATATTGTGTGATATCATTAATGACTGATGGCGTAGAGTACTGATTGGTAGAGAGTTCTTGTATGTAGGATTCATGACTTAATAAACCTTTTAATTATCATTAATAAATCAATCATCTTACAGTAGTATTTGAATAAATTTTTTATTGCTTTTTTTTGTTCAGAAATTAGCAGAGCCTGATGAAAATATGTATAGCTTTCTCATATCAGCATACGGCCATTGTAAAGATGGTGGAGTTTTGTCAGAGCGTCCCAATTTAATTGTAAGTCTGTTATTTTTATGGCAAATTAATATATGAATTGTTATTTTTATGGCAAATTAATATATGAATTACTAGTTGTCTCCTCTTGAAGTGATTGAAATTTGATGATTGATTTTTTTTTTAGCATGCCAAAACAATTGTAAACATTTATGAAGAGATGCAAAACCTGGGTTTTGAGTAAGTGATTTGGTCTGAGTAACAAAAAAGATGTTAAAAAAATGATGACTTTCACAGCGTTTATTTGATTTGTCTATTTACAGACCTACATTAGTTAGATCCAAAGTCTACATCCTCCTATCCTACGCTGCATTGAGGAACTTAGAGAAAGCTGTAGCTCTAAAAAAGTAAGTTCTTCTGTCTTTTTCATGAAAAATTACCAATCCTTAAGTTTTAGCTTGTGAACGATTTTGACATTGATGACCAATAATGCCAATGGAAGTGTAAAATATGATGTATTAAGATATTATACAGCCTTTTGCAAAAATTATGAGAATTGTCTAAATATCTAAATATCATAATATCTATATCCATATATTGTCTGGAACACGCGGGTTTGCTAGAATAATTCATTGTTGACATCGAGAAAATGTTCAGAACTACGGATAAGTCTGTCGCCAAAAAAAAAACTAAACTACAAAGACAAGGGACTAAGGGCATCGCGCGGGATTACCCATTATGCACTCGATATTATGATATTTAGATATTTCAACAATTCTCATAATTTTTGCAAAAGGCTGTAATATTTATAATATGAAAATGTTGTGTTTTTTTTCAGAAAATTTGGGCATCTTGATGTTACCCTGAGTCTTGCTTACAGACTAGAAAAATCTTTCTTAAAGGCTTTTGCTCAAAAGGGTGATACAGAGAGTAAGTGTTGACACTTGAAAGCTGATTGACAGGTGTCAATTTGTCTGTTGTATCCATATATGGATGTCAATATACATGGATCTCATGCACAAWGAAAGGGCTCTCGTGTCCCTATAGAAGACATATTAATTATATATTTAATCTTATGTACCTTCACGTGGTTATCCATGAATGCTCAAGCAAATCGGTCTCTTGGTTTAGTRGTTAGGTTTAGGTAAAATGTAGCAYTGGTTTGAAACTTCATGCTTGTCCTAGAAAAAAATTCTTTTCATATAAGTTTAGGTCTTTGAACATTTTCTATGTTCTTCTTCACATAATTGGCGGCCATGTTGGAGGAATGAACAATAGATACTAATGAGAAATCCTTTGTTGAAGTTCATCCAAGATGGCCGCTGTGRCGTATAGTGAAAACGAAGAATATGRAAGTCAGACTTCTCAATAGAGGTGTTCTTATTCTTTCTTTCTAATTGTAGATGTACTTAAAATACTTGATGGAATAAAAGCTTCAAAGAATCTGAATATATCAGAATATTTTTACAGCACCGCCATTGGAGCGTATAAATTCACAGGTAAGAAATCTATGTTGTTATTGTTTCTGTTGTTAATGGTTGTATTGATTTTTTTTTAAAAGAGCATTAAACTACACTGTCGAAAAAAAGTGAATAAGACTGATTTGGACAATTTTGATTCTTTTGAAAAAAAAGAAGCCATTCTCTATGATTTTTCACCAAGTGTTTCAGTTCTTGTAAARTGCATTTGTCTGTCAATCAGGAGAACTTGCCTGAAGTCTTACACCATACAATAAAGCGAAATGTTGACTCTTAAGGGACTGCACAATTTTTATCAGTAGGGGGGATTGAGAATCCAGAGGGGCAAGATCTAATTTTATGTGCTTAAAGAGGGGGACAACGTCTAAAATTAACTAGAAGTTATATATATTTTGTTTGCGAGGGGGAAAGTAATTAGCTCCTTGATTTTTTGGCTCATTTCTCAACCCCACCCCCCTCCTGATTAATATTGCGAAGGGGCACTTTCCATTATTTTAGACAGAACTGGTCAGGGTACTAGTGTTGTTGTTGTTTAATGTTTTCATTGTCATTTCTGTAGGAGATATTGATTCACAGCGAAAACTTTTTAAAGAGATGGTTGAGAATGGTATGAAACCAACACCCTTTACCTATGATGAATTGCTTGCAACWTATATCATAAAGTAAGTATACAGCATTACATCTGTACATGGCTTTGTCCTCTGTGATAAATAAGATAATCTCGTACCCAGCACTACTCTTGTGCCCACACATTTGCCATCCAGCAGACGTCGATGGTGACATTGGCCTTGAAAACACTGGGTTCGATATTGCCAGCTTCATGACCGAGCAGGAAACTGGGTACAAGTTTTAAAATTGCACAAATCGGTGTGTGACCTACATTATCTGAAAGAGCAAATCTATATCAATTAAAAATCAATGTTTGGTGGAAATCGAGTCAATATTTCAAAAATTATAGGCATTCAAAAACTCTTTTATTCAATTGTAGATCTTTAGATTGTAGGGAATGCTTTCCCACAAACTGTACATTCCTTTGTAAATTTTAACATTTTTAAACAGCTTTAATTTCTTAGATAGTCATCTGAACTAAACCAAACTTGGGGTATTATCAATTTTGATGAGCTCTTCAAGATGATATAGGTAACTTTTAACGATTTTTGCAATTTTAAAACTCGAACCCAGCATCCTGCWCGGACATGAAAGCTGAAAATTGTCAAGTCAACTTGTAGGATGGTGTTGCCAGGGGCAGTGCAGTKCTATGGCATTGGCAGACAATGTTGGTCATTTTATTTTCATATTTTACTTACACTTCCTGTCCTCCAGGGAGGACATCGACGGTGCCTTACAGATCGTAGAAGAAGCAAAAGAAAATAATGCCTATCCGACATCTAATGCGTGTATACAGTTAGCAAATTTATGTGGAAGAATTGCTCCTGAAAAGCTAGATAAAGGTATGAATGCATTGCTCGCAAATCAAAAAGGGCCTCTATAATATATCCCTCTTTTTTAAGAAAAAAAAGACAGATTGAGCAATAAATCACTAGTTGAGTTGAAAGATTAGAAATTGAAAGTTTTTTAYTACTTTTTCTAATTTATTATCGGCTATTTAATGAAAAATGTGGTCTGAATTTTTGCAGACGTTTTTATTGTTACAACTCGTAGAAAACAGAGAAGATGCTTTAGCCAAGTTTATAGGCAGTGAATAACCCAGGGGATGGGGGAAAGGGGTGGGGATGATCGTCGTATATTCGATGGGTAAAAATTATATTTCATATTTCATAATTGCATAGTTCACTTGTTCATGCTTATGACGTTGATAGATCAGAGAATTTATGAAAACCCTTTTTTAAATCTTAGCTTTGAAAGTCTKCGATGTTGAGTATTAAGGTCACTTGAATTGTTCAAAGTGCTTAAAAATATAAATTAGGGTTGAAAATATTTTGTTGTTACGCCCTTTTTCGTAAGAGCATGGTATTTCCGACGATCATGCAAGTTCCACGCTACYCCCGTGGAATAAGTACTGAAGCAGATTTGATTTATTTTTATGATATATTTCAGTGGTTAATGATATAATTGAGAACAAAGCTAGAAAACTATCTGAAGGTTCTCACTCATTCCTTCTTCATGGAATGGTATTTGCGAGTGTTAACAATGGAAGGAGGGACTTGGCGGAACAGATAATGCAGGTAAAATGATGGTTGTCATAACAAACCACAAAAGACTTTTCAATCAATTTTTAAAAACATTAAAATCTTTTTTGTGTTTGCAGATAATACCTGGACACAACCAAAACGAGTATGGAAAAGCAGCTAATTCATTTGCCAATCGAGGTGATGTGAGTACCATTTTCAAGTTTACAATTGTCGTCAACCGAAGATCATTGACTTGACAGAAAAATAAAGTAGATATAAAGTTAGATGTAATTCAGTCATACTTTACCATAATTCTATGTTTGGTTAGTTTGAAGCAGTTTTGAAGTGCCATCAGTTTTTGGACGACAAGAATTTACGAAGTGAAGCACTTTTGATACCTTTGATGCGTGCTCATGGTGAGTACAGATAATATCAGTAAATGATAATGATTATGAATGGTGATGTTAATTGATTATGATAAATGATATCGTTTGAATTAACTCCATTTCAGATGTCAATGGCAATTTCGAAGCTATCAGGGAGGTCTACAACAAGTATATTGCTGGCACTGGTCGTAAACCGTGGGATGGTCTTAAAAAAGTTCTGATTGTATTATTTGATAAATATAATCAAGAAGTTCCTTTCGAAATACTAAGTTCTGACCACAATTGGCAAAGATCACCAATAGCTGCTGAAGAGGTATTCTTCGTTTTCAATATACGTCACAGCGGCCATCTTGGAGGAACTTCAACAAAGGATTTCTCATTAGTATCTATTGTTCATTCCTCCAACATGGCCGCCGGTCTTTTATCTTTTGAATCTCATGGGAATGGTTGAAAGCGATCAATAGTGATGTTTCTTCAATTCTTTGACAAGGGTGATGGTATTTTTTATGCGAACTAATTGAGTCCTTTTATTTCATTTTCAGGTCGGGGATGATGCAGAAATTAACGGTAACGAGGAAAACATGGTAATCATATAAAAATCTGTGTAGTTTTCTTTGATGAAATAAATATATAATCTTCGATTATTATTATTATCTGCGATAATCACTGTAATCAAATTCTTTACTGACCAATGGAAGCTTGGTTCGTAATAAAAAAAAACGCAGTTACGAAGAACAAACGATAATTCAGAAAGCACATTCATATCAGAAGCTGTAGKGCGTCACTCTTTTGCTTGATTTACGAGGAATGCACACAAAAAACGAAACTGAAAAAAGAAATGCAAATGACAAGTAATGTCTCAATAATTCATCTATTGTCTTTTATTCATCTATTGTATTTTCAGGATGGCCAAGCAACCTAAAGACAGTTGACAAAGTTTAAATCGAAGAGCGATTTTTATAGCCTCGTAGAGTATGTCCAACTTGAGCTTATATGATTAAAAATTTCTCTGATAACATAGCCAAACGAAAAAAACATTATACTTTATTATGTAAAATAGCTTTARTGGGTGTATCGCCATTTCAATGTTTTGACGCTGATAAACGAATGGACTTTTGAAGCTTTTACGTTACCTATTTGATTTGCATTGCATTATGGGATCAGTTTCTGGAGGAAACAAAAAAAAACATCCTACAATGCATTGCGTATACGTTATGACGTAAAAGCTTCAGAGGTCAATTACAACAAAGACTAGCCTGCGTGCAGGCGTTCCTCCCCCAACGAGGAACGTCCCCAACGAGGAACGTCCCCAACGAGGAACGCCCCAATGAGGAACGCCCCCAACGAGGAACGACTGCACGCAGGCTAACAGCGGTTTGAGATCAAAGATTTCTAATATCAACATTATTAGTGAAATGCGTGTATTCTCGGTCTGTATAAAATCAGACAAACTACTTGCTTTTGAATGTATTTTGTTTTGTATTTAGAGCCAACATTAAACATGGTCCATTCTCGTACCCAGACTCTCTTATTTCACTAAGAATGCGATATAAAGCGAGGAGGGTCAGGTCATRAATGTCAAGAWGGGGCAAACGTCGAGCACTAAGAAAGACGTGATATGGAGACGAAATGACGTAGAAGTGAAATGATGACGTGAAGTATGACATAACGGCAAGATGACATTGCGTAAAATGAGAYGGAATGAGATMGGAAATGAGATGGAATTGGGTCAATATAATATGGGGTATCGCAAAACCGCAAAGATTTTTACCGAGTAGATGTCGCCAAACTAGAGGAACGGAGCAAACATTTCAGTTCCATAGCTTTATTTTACGGCAGATATTTTTTTATCKTACTATATAAACATCTCATGAAATACACGCTGCAAGTCRCTATTTTCTAAATTTCTTGAACAATGGATGTCTGCTAAGAGACGTAGACTTGGATGACGATCGAAATTCAAGGTAACTCATGTCGTCTGCACCAGACATGGAAGCCATTGATCCAGTTCGCCTCGTAACGCCGGAATTCTGTTAAAACCATAGCAGAATATTCACGTTAACCCTTGATAAAGTAAATCCTACTACCCATTTGCATTCATATTTCACCTTTTGGTTTACTTCCCCAGCAGTTCTCTCCTCTTCTGCGTCTGCATCACTTGCTGCAAGAACCTRTAGTCATCATAAGTCATTGTCAGTGCCTCTTGAAACTTACCTCAACTACTAGAGCGGATTTCGTATGAGTGGGACACCGTTACCTCAGTTACCGGACCTGGCCTGCACAATTTTGGTGAACCAATGGGGCACTAGAATTTGGTTACAGTACCATTACAGTACACACAGTCACAGTACAGTACCGTCCGTTTCCCACTCATACGAAATCCGCTCTATCATCTTGTATGTTAGTGTTCGGGGAAGGAAGAGAGGTATTCCCGTAAATCTTCAAGGGCACTGACCTTTTGTAATAGTTCTTGTTGCTCTCGTTTTGTCGACAAATTGAGATTTTCCTAAAGTTAAATAAAGAAATGTCATAGTACAAGAAAACTCGATCAAAAATATATCGACTGCATTTCCTCTCACAAAACAACTAAGGAATTAAGTGTCCACACGGGTAGTCACTGTCGTAAACATAACATTACGATTTGATTCACTGGATCTTCTCTGCCCCCCGGATATTCAACCTTCCCTCTCACATATCTACACTTCGTTTCAATGTCGTTTCACGACTTTATGAGAGAATCAATTTATTGCAGTGAGTTTGTCTTTCCTATGAAAACCTTCACGTGGTATTTACTACATAGGATGTAAGCAAGCACACTGTACTAACGTACCTCGTCCATTCCCGCCAAGCTTGTTATAACCTAAATAAAACAAAAAAAAAGACTTCAATGTAACAGATTACAGTCAATGCACATAGACGCCAMTTTGTAAATCGTGATAGGAGTTATAGTCCTCAACTTTTTTCTCGCCCCTAAAAGATCTAGCTAAAAGTTAGTACGTTTTCTTTATAGAAACGAGACAACTTCCATTTTTCGCAAGAGATAAAGTAAAAACGGCTAAGCATGAAAAAAATTCAAGGACTGCAACTACAATGGCGTCGATGACACACTGCCTGGCTATTTGGGCTTTGCTCATTTTATCATTTCATAATGACATTTCTATTTAATGACATTTTTACCATCACAAAAACCTTTCAGCCTCCRTAGCAGACTGTCCAAGCTGCGAGCCCGGAGTCTATCCATACTCGTCTCTTAGAAAATTAACGCTGTTGATTATCTAAAAAAGCCCGGGGATTCGGCAAGCATTGTACGAATCGGAATTCAATGAATTTTCAACTCTTACTTTAAAGCTGTAACCCTGATTGACCAAAAACCGTTGACGCTTCGTTGARTAGTACATTTCCTCTGTATCCTAAAATGTCATGGCGATGTTTAATTTAAGATGCCAAAAGACAAGAGATGACGACTAACACTTCAATAACTTACGGTTGATACAAGAGTGTAGAAGAACGCGTTGTATTCTTCTGCAGCCATATCTAAGGGAAACAAGCAACATTCTCGTTTTCAACGAAAATAAACTACAATATTGAATTCAACAACTTGATGCGTAGGATTTTGACAAAATATATTGACTTGGCTGCATTCCTGGCATGAAATAATTTGTTCACATGAATTCACTTTTCTCTCCTTTTATCTCGGTCTGTCTTCTGATTGCAGCACAAYCCTAAATGTCTGGCGGCATTCCACTGGGCGTGGTCATATTTTCAAACATAGTGATCTTATATCTTWAAACAAGTGGTCAATTTACCTTTTTTKGCTCGAAGAATTCTTCCCAGTCGCTGTGCTTCCTGAAACACAAACCTGAACGTTAAACAGAGTCAGAGCTCAAAAGGATTGTGGTAATCTTAGTGCGCGTGTGTGAAGAATTTGAAGCTAAACTGTGAAAATTATGAATGTCAACCGAAACCCCGGACCACCAATTCCCCGGGTATTGTTGAGAAGGATATCTCCCACAACTCTCCTGATTTCAGATAGACGTGCTTCCAATTGACAAAGCGTGTGACGTCAAAGGAACTTCATCTGGGGGAAATGGGGGGCATGTATCAATGAATGAAATAAAAGATTTTCGCTCTCTTGAAGACTATTCTGTCTGCATGAACCACAAGTGGTCATTATAAGTGAATTTACCTGTCTTCTTGAGCCACCGTGCGACGAGATCTAAAATTGACAACGAGAAGTCAATCAGGTAAAACTCAACCAACACCATGAAATAATATAAGTTGCACCAACATGTTGATATTTAGCAGTATTTTTTGATGGTCGACGACATGCAATGGGGCTGGTCAAATATCTTATTTTTCAGCGGCTCAATGATTGATAATTCAGTAAGTTGCATTGACTATTTTCAGATTAATCGTCAGTCAATCACATAATCAATCTGTCACTCATCCAACAAACACAAACAAAAACATTCAAAAATCAATCAGTCAATCAATAGTTGATTTGTGGAAAAKYCAAATRCTGYCTTGTGCCTAACAGTACAGATGAAATACCTGAATAAGGACATTAGCTTCGGGAAGATCAAATGAATTATCGCCAACCTGTAAGGAAACGAATTTCATACTGATAAAGTAATGTGACAGTTGACTATAGACGATATTGTCGCAAACGACATTCTGTACTCCTCACAAGAAGCACTGAAAAAATCGCGCACTTTAAAGGTTGTAAATTTGATGTAAATAATGATGTAAATGTCGTAAATGTCTAAAATGATGTAAATTTTACATCAAATTTACAACCTTTAAAGTGCACGATTTTTTCCAGTGCGCTAAGGTAGGGTAGGCGAGGCAGGTACTGGTAAAGATTACCGCAGTAGTAGCTGGTACTAGGTCAGTGAGAGAACGGCAACGCCTGCTATATGAATCTCAATAATACTTCAACGTACGTAGTTATGTTTACAAGTAGCTTTCTGAAAGGACTTCTTAGAGTTTTTAAAATACTTCCATAATGATCGAAATGACGTTTGTACTAACCTTGGATATGAATATTGTGTTAACTAAAGGRTTGTGCTGAAAATTCTGTAGAATATTAATCCTTTCACCCTGCGAGGTAGGACCATAGATGAACGGCCTAAAAAAACATCCGCAAAATAGATTCAGAGTCCACTGATTTGAATTAAAAGTTTTTTTTGCGCCTTTTATGATAGTGTCCTTTTTACCCAAAGCATTCTTTCCAGAGACTAACAATATATGCTTGYGATACGTTATAAAATATTAGAGATTTATACAAAGCTCTTTTCAATACTTGTTGACTTACTTGTTCAACTTTACAGCATAATTTCTCAGTGCAAAAACGTTGTCAGAAAATACTATCACTTTGTCATTTCGTCTAAAAACATCATTGAAGGATAATTTGATAAAATTAATAAAAACATTTCCAGCTTTTTTAAAATTAAAGCTTTTTTAATTAAAATTACCACTGGAGACAAACATTCCTCTTACAGAGATAGAAAACTTGTCTGGCATKAACTGGCATTTTAAATTAGTTTCTCACATGATTTCTATGTAATGCTTCCCTTTGGTTTATGAAATTCATTATGTCTCAATAAAAGCATTTAGCGGGTTTACCTTTCATGATATCTTATAAGAAATTCACARCATCTGAATTTATTTGGATTCATCACATAGAGGAGCTGTATGATAAAAAGAAATCATRGCATAATGATGAGAATTCACATCAACTGAGAGGGAGAATGGGGGCGAGAGAGGGGAGGCGCTTTTCCTCTTCTTATTTTTCCTTTCTCATCACTAGTCCCTAGCAGCCAAGATGRCTGTTACAAAGGAAAYCCAAAGGAGGAAAATAAAGTTGCCAGGGGAGAAGGCTATGAATGAGACTAAATCTTCATCAAAAAGATTACTTCACCTTCCTCTTTCGTGTTCTGATAGCAAGATATTCGCTGTAGAATTCAGGAGACATGGGACACCAGACCTGTAAACCAAGCAAAATACCATATCATCTATCATCTTAGCCAGTACATAAATTCTCTTCATATGAAACACCATATAAATCAGAAGAAGCTGATAAACAATATTTATTTTATGAAGAACTGTAATGACTGAATGACTATTCATATCTTCTTTCAGTTACACCAATTTATAATTTGTATGTTAGTGAATATATTGAGACAACAGTACCTCTGCACACTGTACTCTTGCAATAAAGCCATTATTTTGAAGCTCCATCCAGTTTGCTTCATACAATTTTGGTCCAATGAGAAAATTCAAATCCTAAAAAACATAACATAGCATTTCAATGAAATCAATATTGGATGTGTTTGATTTGTACCAAGAAATTAATCTCATTTTATTCACAGACCTGGATTTTATCATCTTCTCTGACTAAGGTTGCTGTAAGACCAAGTTTGCAGTGTGCTTGAACAACTGAAACCACAGTTACATAAGTTCTCTACCTCAAATCTTATGAAAGTTTGTAACTTGTGTAATATTTCTTTATGGAGAGGATTTTGTGTCAGAGAGGTGGTCTTAACTTTTAACAAAATGTTTTTGTCTCTCCGTACTCAGATATATGCATATGTAGCTGCATTGCCATGAGCTGTATTAGCTTAAGGAATTACCAGATAAAAAAATGAATAATAAGTTTACCTGTTAGAACTCTGCGGAATTGTTTTGCAGGAATGGTATGAACCTCTGTAAGAAAGAAAACCTAATTTCAGCATTCAAAATTATCCAATATGTTGNATAATGATGAGAATTCACATCAACTGAGAGGGAGAATGGGGGCGAGAGAGGGGAGGCGCTTTTCCTCTTCTTATTTTTCCTTTCTCATCACTAGTCCCTAGCAGCCAAGATGRCTGTTACAAAGGAAAYCCAAAGGAGGAAAATAAAGTTGCCAGGGGAGAAGGCTATGAATGAGACTAAATCTTCATCAAAAAGATTACTTCACCTTCCTCTTTCGTGTTCTGATAGCAAGATATTCGCTGTAGAATTCAGGAGACATGGGACACCAGACCTGTAAACCAAGCAAAATACCATATCATCTATCATCTTAGCCAGTACATAAATTCTCTTCATATGAAACACCATATAAATCAGAAGAAGCTGATAAACAATATTTATTTTATGAAGAACTGTAATGACTGAATGACTATTCATATCTTCTTTCAGTTACACCAATTTATAATTTGTATGTTAGTGAATATATTGAGACAACAGTACCTCTGCACACTGTACTCTTGCAATAAAGCCATTATTTTGAAGCTCCATCCAGTTTGCTTCATACAATTTTGGTCCAATGAGAAAATTCAAATCCTAAAAAACATAACATAGCATTTCAATGAAATCAATATTGGATGTGTTTGATTTGTACCAAATTAATCTCATTTTATTCACAGACCTGGATTTTATCATCTTCTCTGACTAAGGTTGCTGTAAGACCAAGTTTGCAGTGTGCTTGAACAACTGAAACCACAGTTACATAAGTTCTCTACCTCAAATCTTATGAAAGTTTGTAACTTGTGTAATATTTCTTTATGGAGAGGATTTTGTGTCAGAGAGGTGGTCTTAACTTTTAACAAAATGTTTTTGTCTCTCCGTACTCAGATATATGCATATGTAGCTGCATTGCCATGAGCTGTATTAGCTTAAGGAATTACCAGATAAAAAAATGAATAATAAGTTTACCTGTTAGAACTCTGCGGAATTGTTTTGCAGGAATGGTATGAACCTCTGTAAGAAAGAAAACCTAATTTCAGCATTCAAAATTATCCAATATGTTGAACACTTTTTTGTCAATTTGCAAGAATTATTGAAAACTCCTGCAAAAATTGCATAATTTTTATGTTTAATAATTTTTATTAGTTTAATTATGAAGAACTATATTTTAATCAAAATCATGTGCTTTAGTGACAGAGCTAGAAAAGCAGGGTCAAATACATACCATCTAATATCATCAGACCCCATTCATTGTTTTGAAGAAAACTCATCACCTAAAACACGAAGTAAAAACGTACATAACAACATAAAACAACATAACTTATAACTACACAACAACATGGACCAGACACACATTATCAAAATCATATCATTTTAGCATGTTACCTGCTCTGCTTCCCATGATCTCTTGCCTGTATGRGACACCATAGAGTAGGTAGATATTGCAATACCACAATCTGAATTAGAAAACAACTTCTGTTTCTCAAAATACAGTTTCACCAACTACTAAATTCAATGTTGCTGCAGCATGCAAGCTGTGTATGCATCAAGCAAATCGTTAGAAACTCTTGTGACTATTATGAGCTACGACTGGATGTTTAACTGACCTGTTGGTTTGTCTTTGGCATCTGATGTAAAACAACAGATAATACGACTATCGACTGTTGACCATAGCTTGAACTATATCATAAAAAGTTTGGAATTACAGGCTGCTTTAATCTYACAGTGCATCTCTTACTCCAATCAAATAATGAATATATGCAGTAAATGTCCCATTCACAATTTGAAACACACCTGACTTCGCCACTGCTCAACAGCAACTCCTGTAAGAATACAAAAAAGGTTATCTTTCATTGATTTTGTTTATAAGTATAGTTAATACAAAAATCAACAGTACAATTACCTGATGTACATAAAACAAGACAYCTTTTTCTAACTGTACAGGCAGCTGTAACCCCCACCAAGGTTTTGCCAGCTCCTRCAAGGATCAGAAAGTTTCTGTTATGGACACAACCAATGATTAAAGTATTTTCAGRTTCCTGTTGTATTGTAAATCAGTTGTATCCTTACCACATGGCAGGACTATCACTCCAGAACGAGCCCTTCCATTGCCAAACATCTTCCTGAGACTTTTTTCCTACAATTTACAATAAACTAAGAGTTTGTCATTGTTGTTATTTATATATCTTACGGCTAGACTACAGCAGTCAGCTRTCATATGGAATAATGAACATTTTCAATTTTCAACTTCAGTTTTACCTGATAAGGTCTCAATACAGTAGTTGGTTTTAAGTCCATACTAAAAAAAGATRAATCAAGTGTTTGAAAACTAGTCTGGAAATAATCATCCATATTTAAATCCTATCTTTGTAAAACTTACTTCAGATCTGCATTCACAGAGTCATTTTTGAAATCATACTCAGCCAAAAGTGGAAAGTCCAGCTCAATGCATCTGCAATAAAAAATGGCACCAAATCMTTGACTTGCTGAATCGAATCATWGTCAGAATGACTGTTAACAACCCYCAACCTTTTCTGWARAACTTCTATTTGCTCTTGTGCTATCTCAAAAGAATATATCTGACTCTGAAAAAGAGCAATGAAATAAAGTTTGTTACTAACAGGTACAGAACACTTTTGAAAATAAGGGATCACAAACAATACTAGAAACAATAGAAACAATACTACAGTTCCTTATAGTAATGCTCCATCTTAAAAAGTAGGTGTGCCATTGCATCRGAGCAAGATGACTGGTGAAGCTGCAGTAGAAACCTGTCAATAATATTTTTTTTCTAGGTGTGAAAGAAAGTGTGCATCATTGCTGGTTGTGTCTGTTGCAAAGGCACAGTTCTACCTTTCATCAYATGGTGCAGGGAACTATGAGACTATTGTTATTGCATGTGTTCATCTTAAGCAAACCTCCTCCTCTTCATCATCCTGGTCAATTTTATCAATGTAATCRGTGATGTCTGAAGGAATTGCATCTTTTTCTTGTTCCACATCTCCCTAAAAAAATACGACAGTTTTCAACTTGAGCTTTGAACTGCTTGTATTTTATAAATTGAAACAATTATTTTGAAATGAAAAATTATAAATCTTATCATGTGCTGCACATGCAGTGTCATGAATCAGAATACCTGAGATGAACTTTCTTTACTTTCTTGTCCATTTTTGTCATTTGTCTTTGGGAACTAATATGACAAATACATGCATAGTGTTAAGCTTGATGCATTGACCACCATAACAGGAGTACATAAGGCAAAATTGCTTAATAAAATAATTATATAGAATGAAGTTAACAAGGCCAGCCCTATCCACTTACTAAAGTAATGGGCTGCCTGTGCTTTTTTGGTACACAGGAATCCCAACAGAACACTGAACAATAGAGCCCAAACAGTTTCAGACAAGTTTGTACACTAACTTRAATTATGTCAAAATAAGCATAGCTGCAATGAAAATTGTTATACTTTTTTAAAATTTTCTTTTATTGGCCTGTCATCTTGACTACCTTTATAGACTGTCTTGCTCCTTTGGCAGAGATCAATATTTCTTCGCTGTCTCTATGCATATCATCATCTTGTTCTGGTATTTTTCTGCAAGATTGTATCACTTTATCACGTAGGAGAGTCTGTAAAACATCCTATGAATAATAGAAAATAAAAATTCATCAATATCAATTGACTGTATTTTAAAATTTGACAAAACTGCTACATACTGGATGGTTACTTTCCACGTAGTACTTGTTATGTTTTAAGACCAGTTTGACTTTGCCATAACTTAATGTACACAACTAAACATTGAAGAGCATATTGAACTACTTGATTAGTAATACAGTAGGGGTGTCGGTAAGTTGTTGGTTGTCTGCCAGTGGGTTGTTGGTCTACAGGTGTCAGTAGGTTGTTGGTAGGCTGTCAGTAGGTTGTTGGTAGGCTGTCAGTAGGTTGTTGGTAGGTTGTCAATAGGTTGTTGTTAGGCTGTCAGTAGGTTGTTGGCATGCTGTCAGTAGGTTGTTG